TTTGTGTTGCAATTTCTACTCACTTTTGGAGAGAGGGGGGGTGGTTTGGAGCTAAGAAGAGACATGATAACATAATTTTCTTACAAAGACGTGAGCCCTGTCCAACTCCCGATGAAATCAGGTATTCTGCCACTGAATTCATTGTCTGATGCCCACCTGTTCAGAAGAGAGATTTACATATGAATGATGCATCCTTGCTGATAATGTTAGGAAAAATTAAAGCCAGAAAATGGATTACACTGTATGCAAGTTTCTTAGGCGTGAAAATGATTGAGGAATACCACCAGAAACTCCAGAGCTATCAATGTATCTATCAAGACAAACATGATCAACAAATTATCAGTATAATGAAACAGTGCAAACGCAGAGTAAAGGTAGGATCACCACAACTAAGTGGAACAAAACCCAAGTCAAAGATTGAAACTCGAGACAAATCTATTCATTCAGACCATTCAGCATGCTCAGAAATGCATATCACAGATGAAGGGACCCAAAGTCAAATTAGTATTTTAGATTCTTGCATCAACAAACTTCCAATTAAAAAAAAATGATCATGACCATGAATAGGTAAGTACTATGAGTTAAACCCAGGATAGGGAACCGTTAAAATCAATGAGTTTTTTCTTTCACAAAAGTTGGTTTAGCTTTCAGTCTTTTCTTTATTTTATGTCACCAACGTTATACTCTTCATTAACTGAAGTTTGGCTCTCAAACATTGACTTCGGTACGCAAAAATACAACATATAAGGTTTGTTTTATAACATTTTTAAGTTCTATTTATAACTTGTTAGAGTTATATTGATGAATGTCAAATAGGATATAATTCCTATCATGCATACAAGAGTGAGTTTTAATGTCAGCTTTCTATCAATAATAGCAGGTCATCTTTTTTCATGCCCGATAAACATAAGAAGATTGTGGTATTTCTGGAAATTACAAAAATCATGAGATACGGCACATCCAACAATATCCTGAATATAAAAAAAAAAAAAATCAATAAACTGAGGGCAACCACATGACTATAACATTTTAGGTTTTTATCCCACTGGTCAAAAGGTTGATGCCAAAAATTCAGATTTAGTTGTTGAGAACTAGGAAAGGCAACCCCATAAGCATAATTTACACATGTAGATATGAAAAAAGGGTCAAGAATTTTTATAAACAAAAACCAAAAAATAAAAAATAAAAAATAAAAATAAAGAGAGAAAAAAAAAAAGAAAGAAAGAAAGAAAGAAAGAACGAAAAGCTTACAGTTCCTTCAACATAGAAAGATTTCCAAGCTCTGGCGGTAAGGAACCAGAGAAATTGTTGGATCCGAAAGCCCTACAATATCAGTCAAATCGCAACAGTTAACTATGGTCATATGAAATACAGCCGCATGACATATAATACAAATGATCTGCATTTGTACTCATGAAAAGTTTCATTTCTCCTATTCATAAGGAAGGAAAAGACAGAAGCATGCGAGTAAAATTTAGAATTTTTTAGTGCACAAAAAATCATTTCATGTAATTAACAAATTGAATGAAAAAGTTAGCTCCATAGATCTAATAAAAAGCAACGGGATAAGCTAGCTATTCGGATGTCCTCCAGAGTTGAGTAGAAACAGAAAACTTACAACAGTTCCAGTTTAGAAAGAGATCCAAGTTCCTTCGGAAGTTCCCCTGATAATGCATTAATGCCCAGGCTCCTAATCATAATTTGTTTAAAATTAGAAAATGGATAAAATCTTTAACGTTGATGTTCGATATGATATTATGTCTTTTGAGGTCTCTAGAAAAAGCTATGGATTGTCTTACAACGTTCGCAATCCTGTGAGATTACCAACAGATGCAGATAGCATTCCAGTCAAGAAATTTTGATCCAACTTCCTGAAAGAAATTCAGTTCAATTTAATTGCACAAGATACCAATAAAACTTTCCACAATACACTTAATATAATATCAAATACATATATATGCGCCAACATGAACGCAATTTGTTCTAAGAGCTCACGATTCAAATTCTCCACTCAACAAATGATGTAATATTCTAAAAAGTCTGTGTGTGTATTAAGGAAGAAAACATACAGATAGGTGAGGGAAGTTAATGTCCATAGCTCTGGTGGAAGTACACCAACAACGTTTATTGCATAAACGTGCCTGCAAAACCATATAAATGAGATGAATTCAAACTGAACAAGAAAGAAAACAAAGAACATTAGTTTGTTATGAGAAATAAATATGATCTTCTCTGATCTTTTCTTTCAAGTAGATTATATCCTCTTATGATCGACCAGATTTGTCTGGATGCAAAACATACAAGCAATATGGCGGCATTGGTCATCTAGAAAAACTGATTTTTTTTTTTATCAGCGAACATTGCAAGCTTATGGATACACATGTATAAATTCCTGCAACTCAGATCCTTTTTTTTTACGGTCCATGTATATCAATGCTTAAACGAATGGAAGTCGTTAGAATCGAATGTCCCAACTATAAATTAGTTTTATTCAGCAACTTGATTCTGGATTTCCACAACTAAACTCAAGTCCCAACAATCGCACATGCAGAATAGGAATGCTCAAGGCAATCGTAAATAAAACTAATTCGAATTGCTCCAGCTCTTCAAATGCAATGCGATAGATGCAGAGAGAGAGAGAGAGAGAGAGAGAGATACAGTTGAGTAATGAGGCAAGTTGAACCGTTGTTGGCTGAGCAATCGCATTTTATGAGAGGATTGAGGTTTCCATTAATGTCAATGGGGGTGGTAGTGTCGACTGCCCTCCCACTGCACAAATTCCCGCTTATATTCCACGCCCCTGATGGCGCCGATATACGCCATTGTCTAAATATGGAATTCAGAGCTCTTGCTGCACACACACCAAAAAAAAAAAAAAAAAAAAA